CCCGGCCTGTAAAAACCTGCTCGGTCCCCAAATTATGGACAGCTGGCATCGCCAGCAAAACGTAACTTTCGGCCACCAATTAACGTATGTAATACAGCCAAAAACATGATAGTGTGGTGAAAAAATATTGATTGGTTAAGTTAACCTGAAATAAACAAAATAAAGTAAAAGAAACAAATAATCACACCTGATTGTAATAAGGCAGTACATTGAAAGAATATCAAACAAATAAGTACAGCTGAGGTATTTTTAACATTAGGTATATGAAAAGTTCCCTTTAGAATGGAATTACGACCTTAAAGGGCAATTTAAGAAGTTTCTCGTCATGACGAACATTTTAAGTATATGGTTTATGTGGGTGTGACTTGTAGTTTTCTCAAAAGTTCATGGGTACTTTTGACTTTATATATAGACTAGCTGTACCCGCGGGCTTTGCTTCGTTTAACTTCTTAATTTTCAAGATGAGCTCGTTCGCATGGCTCAATCACGTCCTGGTTGAAGTTCGTTCGCTACGCTCACTCACCTTTAGGTTGGAGCTCGTTCGCTGCGCTCACTTGCCTTCAGGTTAGCTCGTTCGCTACGCTAACTCGCCTCCAGGTTGAAGTTCGTTCGCTACGCTCACTCACCTTTTGGTTGCAAATTAGCTGTGTCATAAATAAAAAAAAAATATGAAAAAACTTAGTTTTCTTATTTAATGCCCAAAGAATCGGTGTACCGAATTTCACCCTCCTAGGTAAATGGGAAGTGGGAGAATTAGTGATGAGTGAGTGAGTGAGTCAGTCAGTGAGTCAGTGAGGGCTTTGCCTTATATATATATATATATATATATATATATATATATATATATATATATATATATTTATATATTTATATATATATATTTATATATTTATATATATATATGTATATATATATATATATATATATATACTAGTGGCTTGTAGGGGCCATAGCCCCTAATTTAGACTAAAATAAAAAACCATATATAAAAATACAAATAATCGAAATATGTTTTTAAAATTATCAATTGTACGTTACTGTACTTAAAATTAACAGTGTTTCTTGTTTTATATCTTGGGTTTCCTTCCGTTGGAGTCGTATATTAGTTGCTTCTGATGTGTCAATGAAATACAAAAGTAAAATAATGATTAAATCAATAACACAACATATTAACAAATGGAAACGTGCACACGGTTTGGCCTGAGCCCGGAGAACGACGAATCAGAGCTGAAATCATACAGCCAAACATTACACATCTTTTCTAGTTTAAAATTGAAGATTTGTTTTGTAATCCTACGAATTCTGTTATAGTTTCCAATTTAAGAACCCATGCATTTCTTATGGTGAATATTTTACGTTATATCTCGTTTTCTGGTAACTTTATGGGATTTCTGATATTTTTCCAGTCCCTGGGGTCAATACCTTTAATTTAAGACCCCTCCCACTTTTCTGCGACGTACCAGACGACCACAATTTTCTGGTAAAAATGTTGTCTTACAGAATTATATATATAGATATATAGATACTACATGAAATATGAAAATATTAAATGTAACGAGGATATGGCAGACCGAGAACGATGACTAAAAGCTGTTGGGAAGGCCAAAAACTCATGTTTGAGTGGCTGCATAAATTGGACCTTGTAGTCTGAGTGATTGGACCTGACCTTTTACCACCTTCCACTTGGGACTTGGTAAGTATCCCAGGTTCCAATGGTTCCATCATATACTATATCGGCAATTAAAGAAGCTTAAGCTAAGCTGGTTACTATATGTTAGGCCTTTTCCTTACAGAACATCTCAAAATGACTTCAGCGTATAAATACACAAGGAATGTCTTCCAAGAGACAAATTACTGCAAACAGTATAATAACCCAAATTGCTATCACATAAAACTATCAGTTGTGCGTCAACCCCACCAACACTATATAGTTCAATACACGGTAAAAAGTGACTTTTTAACCCTAGCTCAATTTCCGACCTTGGCTTCGCCTCGATCGTAAAACTTTACCTCGAGCTTGAGTCAAAAAGAGACACTAACTTTTAAGGGATTCTGAAAGAATTTTAGTTACATTTGTTCACTAAAAAACATATGACAGTAAAACAATATTGAAGATGCATCAGCTGTTATATTTGTTTTAATTCACTGAGCTATAATTCTAACTGGAGGTAGCACTGAATGCCAAAGATGCGTGTCGCCAGCCGCCATGTTTGCGTGAGGTGAGAGTTATAAGAAGCCATGTTATTGGATAAGAAAACTCACTGCTATACCAACCTAGTTATAGAAGCCATGTTATTGCTATGATAAGAAAACTCGCTGCTATACCAACCTAACAAAATCAGCGACACGCTATTGACAGACTTCTGCCATGGCAGTGCTACCTCAGTTATAATTTTAGCTCAGTGCATAATGTACACAAAAGATTTTGATTTAAAAAATCAATAAGTACGATTGAGATTTTCATGTATAGTTCGCATGGTAAGTGTGTGTATAACTATTATACAAACTTACCATGCGAACTATTTACCACGTAGGAAAGATGACTGTTTTACAGTATATTTCGAGATCCAATTTCCCCGTTTCGAAGCACGAGCAGAACAACTAGTCAATTACCTATCAATTTATCTAACTTCCATAAGTTATTTATCATTGAACTTCAACACAACGAAAATATTTTAAAATGCCTCTTCTCAGAGTAGTAATGTAGTTACTATTGATAGGACTTCAGAATCTAAAAGCCTGGCTTCATTTAACTTCTATCAGTAAAATCTTCCGATTTAAAGATTTTCATATTTTTTACATACTTCTCAGTGACATACCACTTCCTAGTTGACAGACTTTATACATAATTAGCGTGGTATTCAGACGAGAAGAAGCACAAGTGACGTAGATAAGTGGCTTAGCCAGAGCGTGTAATCTCGGCTCAACGATCTATCTCTCAGAACGGAAATCCTTCCACCCTCATCGTCTCTTTTGTCTCAGCTCTCGAAAACGCCGCCTTCTCATTGAAGTCTCACGCCACCTATCTCAGACCCCCCTCATCCCTCGCTGTACAGTATCCCTCTGTACCATGGCTGACAAATATGTGAAAGTCTTAACTTGACGTTGACATCACTAAAGATTTTGGTAGATTTTTAACTTGCATTAAATTAAAATTTTGCTTTTACCTTTTGATTAGTGGGACAGCAAACCTGCCTGCAGGCTAAGTAGGTTCCCTATGACAATGGGTGAGGTGAATAAAATGTAGTACATACTACATAGTTCGTACTACATAGTTCTAGCACTTGCTCAAATCGAAGTGAATAAGAATTAGCTAGAACTAGGTAGTAAGTACTAGGGGTTCCCTATGTGATGTAGTAAGTACTACCTGCCTAGTACGTACTACCCCCTAGTACCTACTAGAGTGATTCACTAATAAACAAGCCAAAACAGGCGCGCGGCGATAATCAGCTGTTTGTCGTCATTCCGTTGGTCATTCCTGACAGCGCCTGCAGTTGTATCAGACGTGTTGAGTGACTAGTAAGTAGCATTGCTACAAATTTGAGCGAATGGTGGTGTTTTGGCCTCTGGGGACATCAAAATGAAAAAGTAAATCGGTCCCAGGCCTAGGTCTTACCATGCCACCTACAGTAATAGCTACTTCCTTATAGGGAAATTCGCTAAAAAGAGAAAATAACAAAACGCAACAATCCTATCAAAGAAAAAAAATAAACAATTAATTTGCAATTTTACATAATTCCTAATATGCAATTAATGTTCAATCCAATTAAAAATATCGTTTATTTAAACACTTTGTTATTATATAATTAAATCTTATTTACGACCGATAAGAAGGTATTTTAATTTGTACTAAAAATAGCTCAACTTACCCGGATCACCAAAATAACAAAATAAAACATCAATTTTCTATCGAGATCTCAACTTCACCATTGCCAGGCAAAAACTCGTTGGTAAAAAAATCAACACTTTCATTCTCAAATCGCAGTAATTGCTTACAGTTACCAATATTTCTTCGTTCAAGGTATGTTTTCCTGTTACGGACTTGTAAAAACATCGCCATATTCGCAAACGACCAAACTGAAGCATGCCCTTGATCGTACTACATAAAAATGAAGTAACTACTACGCCGACTGGTTTTTATTCACCGAAAAAGCCTAGTAGATACTACTTTCCCTATGTGATGTAGTATGTACTAGGGGTAGTACGAACTAGCATTTTATTCACCTGCAAGTCGTAGTTTGTACTAGAGGCTAGTACCAACTAGCATGTTTATTCACCGAAAACCGAGTAAATACTTCAAAAAGAAGTACGTACTACCAAATACTACCTTTTATTCACCTCACCCAATAATACCCAATTACATTGGTGTTCAGATCTATAATAGATGTAAAATTATACGATCTATATGTGTCTTAAAGCATTATCAAACCGTTTAACGATTGCATGAATCGAAAACACATCTAGGAATGTTTCTGTCCTATTCACTATTTTCAAAATACCAGGACTCTACTAGCAGGATAAAACATTAATGTTTAATCCTCCTAGGGACTCTACCGTATTAAAGTCACAATATTAAGATTATCAGAATTATTGAGTTTATTGGTTTTTATGGAAACATTAAGACATGTAACGTTGAGGAAGAGGTGTATCATCATGTAAAACTGGTATTTAGTATTTTTATGTTAGTATATTCAACATCACACAAAAAAGCACACACTCTGTTTCTTAATCAATACGTCGTAGATTCTTATAAATTAAAGGACAAGCACGTCTGATAGTTTTCATCATGTTAATACCCCCTGGATTGTGTTTCTTATAGTTTTGATATGCATTGTATATAAATATTTTTTCGACATATAATTTGATTTCCCTAGTGAAAAAAAATCTGGTCCAGGTTCTGCCACAGTACTGACCAGGTTCTGGGCTGATACTAGCCAGGTTCTGGGCTGATACTGGCCAGGTTCTGCACCAGTACTGACCAGGTTCTGGCCCACTACTGGCTATGTTCTGGACCAGTATTGACCTGGTTCCGGACCAGTACTGGCCAGATTCTGGACCGGAATTGACCAGATTCTGGGCCAGTAGTTGCCAGGTTCTGGACCAGTATTGGCCTGGTTCTGGACCAGTACTGGCCTGGTTCTGGACCAGTACTGGCCTGGTTCTAGACCAGTATTTGTCAGGTTCTGGTTCTGCCCCAGGTTCCTGACAATTCTGGAGCCTGGGCCAGATTTTTTTCACTAGGTATAATCCAGTTCATTCGATATAGTGGATAACGATATAAATCGAGTCTAAACGTAGGTTTGTGTTAAAATATGTTTTATTCGAATCAGCATCCTGAAGAGAGACTTCCATGACCAAAGAAGACTGTAGAATCATGTTCTTGAAGGCCTCGTCGTTGAATTAAAAAATGTGGAAGTTGTAGTTAGGGTGCGTCATAGCGATCACCGAAACATCGACAGTATCTTCACCAATTCAATGACACGGGCCTGGTCATCTACTGAACACCTAAAATATACTAACATTTAAAATCACTAACATTAAAGCTGTCTGTATGTGTTCTTTCTAGATAATAAGAATGGCCTTTGTTAACCTTTGGTTTAACGATCCAACCAAAAGCACCCATTTCTGTCTACGACAATAAAAGGTAAGTAGGCCCAGCAACTCTTTTCATACCAATTTAAACTATGCAAAATTGCAGAGTTAAATATAATATTAACGTAAAACATTTGAAAATCAATTCATTATATTTTAAGGCTACATGAAAACCCAGACAGTGACAGTTTCAAGCACTATTCATTCGATTGATTTTTACCCTTCAAAAGTCATTGATTCGTCTCTTATTGATATATTTTATGTACAAAAGATATTAATTACTACCTGGTAGTCCGCGCATTGGTGGGACCGGGGGCGGGAAAACAGGGGTGGGGGACGTGGGGGCGGCGCTTCCCCCCACTCACTAGGTGGCGTATTGTTCCCGTGACGTCAGCCACTCGTTCCCCCTTATTCCGCCCCGGAAAGATTCTTTTGTTTTACATAGAGCTCAGATGGGCTTTTTCATAGATTTTGACATACCTCTTACAGGGCTAAGTCCCCTCTGTCGCCCTTCACCCTTTCATCCCTACCAGCACTTGCTCGATTTAAAGAGAAACCACCAAAGAAATTCGACGTAAAAGATGCCCCGTAATATTCCCTGAGGGAATATTTAAGGAGGACTTCGAGGCAAAGATTTTAAGTTCAGTGAGTTAGATGTTTAACACTGTCCGTGTGTTTGATTAGAGAATATGTTGATTATTATTTGGAAAATATTCATGGCGAAAAAATTTAATTTGGAATACTCATGGATAAAATATATCCAAATTGTAATTGAAGCTCATTTTTCGTGTCTAGTTCACACGGATCGCTAGTGTCGACGAAATTATTCCTTTATATCATTTCAGGGCAATTTTATGTTTTGTTCTTTACTGTTTGGTTACATAACTAGAGGACGAATTATTGTTTATGATTTGATAGTTTTATTTATTCAAACCACGAGTTTTTAAATGACTGACACAACAAGAATCAAATTGTAAACAAAACACAACCTTTACAGTGCGCCGAACAGAGCTAATAATAAAATTGGCTTCAGCTAATCCATAAGGATGAGAAATGTACTAGGGAAGTAGGCCTATGTTTTATCATAGAACTCTGTCGTGTTTTGTCAACAATTTGTTTCTTGTTTTTTCAGTCATTCAAAACCTCTTTACCCAAATAAAACGATCTAATCATAAACACTATAACTCCTCCCCTAGCTATATAACCATAATGTAAAGGACAAATCATGGAACTAACCCTAAATAGAACCAAAATTCCGTCTACACTAGCGATCAGTGTCACCGGACATGAACTACACGAAAAACGAGCTTCAAAATTTACAATTGGATGAGAAGTCTATAAGTCTATAGTTTTGTTGGTTAGTCTATGGTTTTATCTTTATGTTGCATTGTAAATCTGTCACGCAGAACACGCGGTCCCGCCGTCCTGCATGGACACGTCGTGTCGAGTACTGGGCAAGTGGCGACGTGAATATTCATGTCGGAGAGGGTCGCTTGTTTCACCAGCTGTAAACTGCTAATTGTCAATTGTGAGCGGAGTGTCATGCTCATGGCTGTTGCCAGCTCAGCTCTAATGAGTACCTCTCCAAGCCACCCCTCTTTGTCCACCCTCTCAAATCATCTCTTTCGTAGCGGGACCATCTTTTTCGTTTTTATAAAATAACCCGAGCTTAAAATCTCCCCGGTTGAGTCACGGAATCGGATATTTCTGATGGATGTCTTTGTTTGTCACCCTCCGAGTCACCCTTGGATCAAATGCGGCGTTGGAGGTTTCACATTGGAAAAGATCTGTGGGATATTTAATGAAAAAAAATAAATATTTGAGGAAATGTTCGTTTTTTAGAATCAGCGTTAAATATATTACCATTTCTAGGTGATTCACAGTGAGTAAATAAATAATTGAAACGCAATTTCCTGTCACAGTTTTTGGTGTGCCATATAGGATTTGAAATTTAGTATTGAAACAGAACTAGTTTTATTGTGGTCAGAAAATTCGTTCTTGATTGTAAACACAATCGTATCAAATTCATAATCGCTTAATAATAAAACTGTTCCAAGTAAAGGGTCCTATTGGAGTGTTTAATATTTATGTGATCAGAATCACATGGTTTTATCAAGTGAAACTACTTTTCCCGATCTTCTAAAAGTTTACAGGAATCTACAGTGACCAATTCAATTGATGCACTGTGATTTATTTACATTGGTGTTGGTGAACGACCCGTCGATAAAGTACATAGTCAACTATGAACCAAATAATCAATGATTGCCTTCTGATTTTTCTCTTTGGTGAATTTAGCTTATCTATCTATTCTATATTTATATCTATCTTCTATCTATATATTTAATTCCGTAAGTATCTCGAACTAGGAAAAAGCATGGCTGTTGAGGATTCATTTTAAAACTTAAGGTCCAAGGACGCCGGGAAAATTTTCAGAAGTGTCAAAAATTGCTCTGATCTCCCCCACAGGCTGTCGAAGATCCCAGTCATTTTCTAATAATTATGTACTGCTACAGTGTTTCTATAACCTTTTTTTAAATATATCAGCTGATGTAGACATTACGTACTTCTTTGTTTATTGATTTTAGTGTTCTGTTTTTAGGCTAGAATACTTTTTAATACTTTATTACTTTAATATTTTTCAATTGGATGAATATGAAATGACATACGTAGAATTGCCTTAATAATACTATGTGTATACTTTAATACTTTTCTTTGAAATGGCGACCATACAAAGTAGGTATTTTAAGCCAAGTATGAATGGAGATGAGTGTAGGATGAGTGGCGCGATCTTGTAGTCTTGCAGTACGTTTTCTGTGCTGAGGCCGACATATTCCTTAGACACAGCTGTTAATTAATAGCCCATACAGCTAATGGCGACTAAGGGACCTACAGTTTATAGAGGAATCCGAACCACTTTTTTTTCTCTTGGTATATACAGTGTATATACAGTGTGGTATATGTACAGAATGGTAATACTGAAATGTATCTTGTTAAGGGAAGACCTCGACTAAGAAGGAGAGTATAGTTGGTGCACAGCATAGGAGGTGAAGGACAACAATTTATTATTGCTGCTATGGGCAGTTATATATAATATTTTAAGATTTACGCAAAAATATATTACTGTACCAAAGAGAATGCACAACATGAATGATACTAGTTGACTCAAGGATTCTTATGTTACTTCATAAATCTAATTTTATTACAATTTAAATTTCCGTTCACCCTCAGGAGGTAGACAAATGAAAACATTTCTGAACGCGACATTTTTCACTTTGAACGCTAAAAGAAATGGAACATTAAAGATAAATGCCCTTAAGCTAAAGCACTTTCTATTGTGAAAGTCAAGAACACTCGAAGCTTTGCACGGACGGATCGCTTTGCAAAGGGAACATTCTTTAGAACACACGAACGACGGGATTAAAACACTTTTAGTTAAATCCACTGTTATCATGCTAAGTATTTAGAGAATCTGAAGTTGTAGTATGGAACTGGTTGCCTAAAGCATGCTAGGTTACAAGATATAACCTTTGACTATTTATAACCTAACCTAACGATATATCGAATAATCGATATATCGATCGATATTTCCATTCGGTTGTTTGTGCCAATATGGAAGTGTACCCGATATAACCACAGAATATTAAATATCCATGTGGTTAAACATACTTCACTGTAGATTTGTCATCCTCATCCGTTCATTTGAAGACGGTGAATAGTGTTTCTGTACTGTTTACTAGAGTATTGATTGTTTACTATTATTCTATTATTATTTCACCAACTTTGAAATTATTTACCTAAAACGATATTTATGTGTAATAATGATTATTCCTCGGAATTACAACAAAAGAGTGCACAAGTTGCAAAGTCTATCAAATAAAAGAGAAGTTATAGAATGAATAGACTGCGTACGCTTAGCTTTTTGCCTATGGTAAGTACTTTAGAGCAAATTTATAATCCCATATTGCTATCTCCCATGTTACGCGTATATAACCGGATAAATACTAGGCCTAGCAATAACTAATGAATACGAATCCTTTCAGAAGCGCAATGTGCTAACTATAGTATACCGTAAATTAAAAAAAACCTAATTTTCTTAAACCGTGTCCTCCCTCATTGCAAACGCATAACACGAGTGTAACTGCAATACTAATTTTATACTTATACGCCAACCCCGTAAGGACGGATACTCTGCTAGTCGTGACACAATTTAAAACCAACGTAGTACTCAAACTCGCTGGATAGGCTATTTTTGTAAACTCAATTGAATAAACAAAATAATAAACATTTTAATTGTTCACAAATATTGGAACACAAATTGTACTTTGCAATTCAACTAAAATTAACCATGTTTTTATTACTGGCAAACTTCTAGTTCACTTAGGAATGTATTTGCAGTATTCAAGGTCAATAGTACGTCGGATTCACGTAAACGAACTGTTTACTTGCAGTATCCAAACTCATGGCACATTTGGTTTGGATTTGGTAAATGAATTGTTTACTTGCAGTATTCAAACTCATGGCACATTTGGTTCGGATTTGGTAAATGAATTGTTTACTTGCAGTATCCAAACTCATGGCACATTTGGTTTGGATTTGGTAAATGAATTGTTTACTTGCAGTATTCAA